TGTCGTCGCTGCGAAGCGACGGCAGACACATCTGAAGCAACACGACGCCGGCGCTGTACGAGTCGAACCGGTCCGGGACGTTCAGCTGCCACAGCGCCGGGGACAGCGCGAGCGCTACCGGCGTCGCGGGCGCCTCGGGCGTTTGCGTGGACATGATGTACTCCTCCGGCCCGGAGAAGCGCGGGTCTAAGATGAACTCCTTCGGCTGGTAGTTGAAGCCGAACCGCAAATCCGCGGCGGCGCCGAGGTCGATGAGCTTGAACCTGCCCTCCTTCGGGTCGAAGATCATGTTCTCCGGCTTGACGTCGCGTAAGATGATCCCCGTCGCGTGCGCGCCGGAGAGGCACTCCAGAATTTGCTTGAAAATCCGCTGGATGATCGCCTTCTTCCGCGCCGGCCCTCTCGGCTCGCCCTCGACGGCGACGCCGCCGGAGTCTCTGAACAGGAAAGGCTCGACGTTGTACGGGAACTCCTTGCTCTGCATGAGCCCGTTCAAGGTTTCGCTCCCCTCGAACTTCCACACCAACCACATCGGATCATCGTCGTCTGAATCGTCCACCTCGACAGCCTTCTGCGCGAACGACTTGGCGCGCTTCCAGATGCTCTGCTCGCCGCCGCCGCGCGCGGCGCCCTTCTCCTTCGGGCCGTAAAACGCGCCCTGATACTTCGCGATGTACTTCGGGCACGCGCGCATGAGACGACTGTTCGTCCATATCTCCGCCTCGCCGTAGTCCTTGCATCGCTTCAACACGTACGTCTCGCCGTCCTCCACGCCGGTGGCTTTGTACACGACCCCGAACCCGCCTTCGCCGAGTTTGTTCCCGATGACGAAGTCGTCCAGGCTGAACGACCGCTGCCCGAGCAGCGGGCGGAGGACGTAGTAGTCCACGAACCCGCCCAAGACGCCCGGGGTGATCGTGAGGTAGAACCCGAGCGCGCCGAGGATCGTCAAGCCGGTGGGGGTGAACAGCGGCGCGACCTCGCCGCGGAGCTCCGCGTCCAGGGTGCTTCGGTAGATCTGATCTCCGCAGTTTTGGATCGTGCACGGGAGCCCGATGCCCGCGGCGACGTCCGCGATCGCGTTCGCCGCGGCGCCGAGGTCGTCGATCGGGAGCGCCGCGGTGGGGGCGAGGAGACGCGCGCGGCGACGCGCGCGGCGGTGCGCGCGGTGCGCGAGGCGCGGCGCGGAGGACGCGCGCGATGGCGTTAAATGCGTCGCGCGACACGACGCATCGTCTGCGTTTTTCGTCGCGGCGACGTCCGCGCGTCGCGCGCGCGCGCGAGCGGATCCGCCGCTCCCGCGGCGCGGCGCGATCGCGCCGGACAACGCGCCGGCGCGAAGCGTCGCGGCCGACATCATCGTGTGCGACGACGGACGGAGGTTCGTGCGGCCGCGCGGCGGGCAGTCGGGCGGGTCTCGCGGACGCGCTGAGGTGGATCGATATCCGCGCTACTGCTCAGCGAATCAGAAGCGCCGATCGCGTTTCCCGCTACATTTCTCCCGAGCGGCGTCGGCGGAGGCGCGCGAGAGCGATGCGATGCGATGGAGACGGTCGACGCTTCGATGTTGGACGCGCGGGGAGTTACACGCGCATCACGCGATGCCCTCGCGTCGAGTATTAATTATAAGTCGCGGGCGAGGCTAATACGCCGCGCCCAGACGCGTTCACCCATCATTCGCAACTTAACCCTCGCCGCCGAGGGTTTCCCGCCGTCCCGTCGTCGCCCCCTTCCATCACTCGTCGTCGTCGTCGTCGTCGTCGTCGTCGTCGTCGTCGTCGTCGAAGTCCTCATCGTCGTCCGCGCCGCCGTACCGCGCGATGATGTCCGCGTCCGCGGCGATCTCCTTCGCTTCCTCCTGCATCGCCCCCGGCTCGCGTCCGGTGGGCCACTTCATGACGTAGTACACCAGGTTCACCAGAATCGCGGTGATGGGCTTGAAGAGCCAGTAGACGACGAGGAACGCGATGAGCGTCCCGAGCGGCCCGATCGACTGCATCCAGTCCGGGGGCTTCCATCGACCGCCGAACCACTTCCCGCCGCCGCCGCCGCCGCCGCGGCCGCCGTTGCCGAAGAGCCCGCCGCCGCCGAAGAAGCCGCCCTTGTCGTTCTCCGCGAGCGCGTCCGGCTTGTCCCCGAACGCGCCCATGAGCGCTCGCTTCGCGGCGTCTTCTTTCTTTCCCATCCTCGCGACGACGCGCCGCCCGCGCGTGGGGGGGGTCGCCCCGACGCGGTTCGAGCCCGGCGCGCGCGACGCGCGCGCGGCGACGACGACGGGTCGCGCCGCGACGGTCGCGCTCTGCCGCGCGGAGATCCTACGTACTGTTAATAATCCTCCGATGGGCCCATCATCGGGGGTGATCCTCGCGGCGGACGCGACCGAGGACGACAGCGCCGTCATCGCGCGTCGACGACGCGCGCGTCGCGCGTCGACGTCTTCGCGAGTTCTGAGGCGTCGGGACGGACGCCGTCCGACGGTGTATCGCGCGTGCGGCGGCTCGAGAGCGCGCGCGCCTGTCCGAATACCCTGGGGTTTGGGTTGAAGCTCGGCCAGCTCGTCGCGACCAGACGCGCACGACAGAAAATAAAGCGGATAGACGGACAAGATGCGAGACCACGTCACCTCTCGCCACTTCGAGATGGCGACCGCACGCGCCGCCGCGTCCGCGCGAACCGCCGCGCACGCCTCCGCGACACCTCGCCGCGGCACCTCGAAACGCCCCGAGCGCGCGTCGCCTCCGAGACGCCTCGCGCGATGCCGCGCGGCCGTCGAAGGCGCGGTGCTTTCGCCCACGATCGACAGCCCCCCGACGGTCTCCGAGCGGAAGTGCCGCCTCGTCGCGATCGTCCCTCCCGCGTCCGCGGGAGCCTCGTTCCTGCCGTACCCCCCCGGGCTTAAAGGGACGGCGTACGACAAGGGCGTCGGGCCGGACTGGATCGAGGTCATGCGTCACATGGCGACGCGACTGACGTGGGTGGACGTCGGGTTCCAGATGGACGTGTTCCCCTCGGACGCGCCCGCGTCCGAGATCTCGGCCTCGGCGGCGACCGCGGACGTGTTCGTCGCGATCGGGATCAAAGACGTCGAGACCGCGGCGACGCTCGTGGACGTCCTCACGACCGTGCCCACGGGCGCGGCGTTGGGGTGCGAGGGCACGAGCTTGGACGCGCAGTCGCGCGTCGTGTTTCAGGTGCGCACAACTCGACCGTTTTTCACCCACCGCTCGGTTTCAACATTTGATCGCGGCGCCTTTCAACTGACCGATGAACGTTTTGGAATCGCCCGCAGCCGGTGACGGATCTGCGCGCGATGCAGGCGAAGCTGCTTCCGTGGGGCCGCGCCGCGAAGGACCTGCGGCTCATGGAGCAAGTCAGCGGCTTGTTCGACAGGAAAAACCACCTCGACCTGCTCTTCCTTCACCTCCTTCTCATCGACGCGAGCGGCGCGCGCGTGCCCGCGGTGGACATCAACCAGGACCTGAACGTCGGCAACGTCTTCTGCATCGCGAAAAATTGCAACAAACAGCTCTTGGCGTGTTACCAGAACGACCGGTGCAAGCTGTCGCTCGATTGCATCGACGCGTGCGGGTTGAACGACCAGGTGTGCACGTACACGTGCATCCGCAGCTATCAGAACGTCGAGTTCGAGAAGCTCGCGCGGTGCATGCTGCACTCGCACAACTGCCTCGGGAACGACGCGATTCGGCCGGAGCTCCCGGAGGTGTTGCCCATGACGACGTTCCGAGGCGAGCCGCTGACGCACGACGCCGCGGAGGCGATCATGCAAGGGTGGTACGGCGACGGACCGAACATGAAGCCGTACAGCTGGCTCGCGGTCGCGGGGCAGAACCCGGCGTACGACCACTTCCCGTGCCAGTACCAGATTTGGTACCGCGGCAAGGCGCGAGGGAGCTTCTGGTACAACCCGGTGTTTAAGGTCCAGACGTTGGACGGGAAAGAGGTGTGGCGGCGGTCGGACTACCGGTGCAAGCGCGGGGACGTCCCCGGGACGTTCTACTTCTCGTTCATGGACAACGGCGTGACGTCTCTGGAGTACTGGAGGATCGTCGACGCGGCGGACGATTTGGAGTGGAGTCTGTACTACTACGCCGGCGCCGCGAAAGTCGCCGGGCAGTCGTACATCGGCGCGGTCTTGGCCACGAAGGACGGGAAGTGGCCGGACGTGAAGCACCTGCCGCGGATAGAGAAGAGCCTGTGGGAAGGATGCGGCGTGAAGCTGTGGGAGATGTGCGAGGTGGATAACTGCGACTGCGGCGGCGCGCCGTTGGACCCGTACCACGCTCCGGTGATGATGCCGTCGTTGATCGGTGCCGGAGCAGGCGAGGGTGCGCGGTGACGGGGTATTTAGTCGTGTGTGGCAACGACGGCGTCTGTCGCTGTTACCTTGAATCTAGACTATCGCAACGTTGTGGTAGTGCGATACTTCTACTCGCGCGTGACGTAAAAAACGCGCAACCCGCGCCGTTCGAGTTCGACAGGGTCGAAGAGGCGCGTCCACTCGTCTTCGCCGCCGCCGCCGCCGCCGCCGGTCGGTCCGCGCAGCGTCGCGACGGACGCTCTCATCTTCCCGTCCCTGACCGCGGCGCGAAGCGCGAGTCCCTCGACTTTACACACGTCGAGGAACGTCTGCATCGCGTCCGCCTTGCGCGGGTCGTTCGAGCGCGGCTTCCACGCGAGCGCGACCCGCGGCGCCTCACCGCCGCCGCCGCCGCCGCCGCTGCCGCCGCCGCCGCCGCCGCTCGGCGGAAGCAGCGCCAGCAACGTCTTCGCGAGCGGCGCCGCCGACTCGGGGGCGTACAACACGTCGGACACGAGCACGACGTCCGCGCGCGCGCCTCCCCCGCGCGTTCCCGGCGTCCCCGGGCGATGCGCGTCGACCCCCGAGACCGCCGGCGGCGGGCCGTCGCCGAACGCGTATCGCTCGACGTCGACGCGAATCCGCCCCGTCTCCGAGCCCGCGCCCGAGCGTCGCGTCGTCGCGAAGATCCTCGCGTTCTCGCTCGCGAGGTCGACCGCTTTCGGGTTGCGGTCCGTGAGCAGGAGCGAGACGTCGATCCCGGCGCTAGACGCGGCCGCGGCGACGAGTAACCCGCACGCGCCGGCGCCGGCGCCGAGCTCCAACATTCGCAGCTCGCGTCTCTCTCTGGCGAGCCCGGGGAGGATCTCGTGGACGACGTGCGCCGCGAGCGCGATCGAGCAGTCGTACACCGCGCCGGGGATGCCGATCGCGGGGTTTTGTTTGATCGCGACCTGCGGTCGAGGTCGCGGGGACGGGAAGACGTCAGACGTCGGGTCGCGTTCGCGTTCGACGACGAGGCGAGGATGGAGAAACGCGTTCGGGTGGTGGAAGACGGAACGCTGGCGAGAGAGACGCGCCTCGGGGACGCCTTCGAACGCGACGCGAATCTCGTCCAGCTCCGCGCGCTCGACGTCGTCGTATGATCGCGGGCACAGCTCGAGGCTATTTCGTCTGCCGTCGGAGCAGGGCTCTGCGGCGGCGCGCGACGCCATCGGTCCTCGACGCGCGGCCGACGGTATTATTCGGCTTGGATGTGTTGATTAATACGAATCGGCGGTCCGACGCCCGCGAGAAGATACGGCGCGGGCGGACCCGGACGCGCGCGCCGGATCGAAAAGCTTCAGTCTAAGGGGAAACAAGATGCGCGCGCGCGTGAGCGATGGGCGTTCCGTGATCGACGGACGACGACACGCCTCGCGCGGCTCAGATCTGGAAGCGCTCCGAAGGAGTTTCTTTTTGTAGTTGTCTGATATCTGACGAGGACTCGGCACAGCACGCGTTCGCGAGCAGATTCGTTCACTCGCGTCTCGAAAACAACGGCCGCGCGTCGCATTGCAACGACGCGCGAGATGGCGTCCACGCTCGCGCCGCGGGCCAACATGGGGGTCGACCCCACGCGCAGTCGCGATATCATGGACGACATGGTCAACGTGGTGCGCATCGCGCGCGCGACCCCCTCGCGCGCCGCGTCGCGTCCCGTCATTTCGAATTCGGAAGATTCGTTGGTCCCCCCCTCCCTGCGTCGAAAATCCGCTGACCCCCCGTCCCCGTCGCTCGCGTCGCAGGTGGAGACGTACGTCGCCGACGGGTTCGACTCGTTCGAAGAGTGCGTGACCCCCCCGGAATCGATGCCATCCCCCGCGTCGACGCCCTCGGCGCGCGCGCGCGCCTCGCGGCGACGCGTCGTCGTCGTCGCGCGTCGTCCCCCGTCCGAACGGCGAAAAAACAGCCGGGGACGTCCGTCCGCCCGCCGTCCCTCCCTGACGGCCCCGCCAACCCCGCCCCATCCCCCCTGCCGCTCCGCTCGCGATCCAGGGTCTTAAACCAAGAGCTCCCCGCGGACGAAGAGCGCGACGCCGCGCTGAAGCGAGGCCTGGACGCGATGTACCGATCCGCGCAGGACAAGATCGCGACCCACTTCGGTCGGTTCGCGGAGGGCGCGGGCGCGGACATCTTCGCCGTCCCGAACGAACTTCTGAACGCGCGCGACCTCGCGGAGGACCTCCCGTCGTGCTCCGCGGAGGAGGAAGCCGCGATCGACGACGATCTGCGGATGATTCGGAAGCGCTTAGCGCACTTTGAGGCGCTGAAGATGCACTGCGATAAGCAGAGCGAGTTGCTCGACGCCGAGCTCGAGGATTTCGCCGTCGTCGCGAAGCAGCTGAAGGAGGGCAAGGAGAACGCGGGGAAGACCCTGGGCGGGGATAAGGAGAACGCAAACGCGTGCGCGGCGATCGTCTACGCCGCGCGGCAGCTGCAGCCGCTGTTAGAGCAAGCGGAGGCGATGCAACGGAAAGGGAACGTGTTCAGCGCGGACGGGTTCAGGATCGGAGACGTCTCGAAGACCGCGGACCCGGTCGTCATGGCGAAGAGCACGCTGCGCGCGCACTTCGTGAAGGGGGGCTCGCTGGAGGTTTTGAAGAGCATCAACGCGCGGTTGAACGCGCAGAAGGCGGCGACGATGCAGGCGGCGGCGGCGGCCGCGGCCGCGGGCGGGGAAGCGGCGGCGATGGTGACGGAATGACGACGAGACGAGAATCGAGTCGACTCGAGACGTTTAAAAGAATACCATGTACACAGGTAACGACTGGACGACGACGCCGTGCGCGCGAACATCGCATACGGTACGGCATCATGAACGCGTTCCATATATACGTATTAAATGTCCGGTCCGCGGAGGCGACGCCCTACGCGTAGTGCCGCTCGACGTAGTCCGACTGCGGCATCCCGTTCGGGAAGCTCTTCTTCGCCACCTTCTCCCACTGCGCCTTGCCGAAATTCATCAACTGCAACACCATGTTCCTGTGCCGCTTGCGACCGCGTCTGGGATCGTCGAACCCCCCGCCCGGGCCGCTCATCCCGCCGCCGTTCATCCCTCCGACTCCGGATCCCATCCCGGTCCCGCCCGTCGCGTTTAAGATTCCGCTCCCGCCGCTCCCCGCGAGCCCACCGCTCGGTAAGACGCTCTCGTTCGCGGCGAGGGAGATGAAGAACCCGAACGGGACGATCCACACGATCATCAGGAAGAACCCGAGGTGATACTCCAGCGTGTGATGCTCGTATTCGTACGCGTCGCCTCGGAAGTGCCGCAGCCACATCACGTGGTTCGCGACGAGGAACAGCGCGCTGCCGATGAACTCCGGGGACGTCGCCTCGATGAACGGGAAACGCTTGAGCAGCGTCTGGTAGCACCCCAGCGCGGCGAGCGACACGGCGACGCAGCTGAACGGCATCCCGTCCACGATCAGCAGCAGGACGTTCACGCCCACGGAGATCTTGATGCTCCACTGCAAGACGCGCTTCGTCAGGCGCGTGTGCTCTTCGACCATCTCCGCGAGGTAGTACAACCCCGTGGCGAGGCAGACGGCGATGAACACGAGGAACAGGTACGCGCCGCTGTACGCTATTATCGCGGAGAAGAACGACATCGTTGAACTCGTCGAGATCCGCGGATCGATCGGCGGAAAAAAAATGAAACGAGCGGCTCTCCGACGACGACCTCGACGCGCGCTTCCCTCCTCGCGACGCGCTTCCTTCCTCGCGACGCGCGCTCGCGATCGCGGCGCTCGGGTCCGCGCGAGGCTAGCTACGGAACGAGAGAAGCCGACGGGTCGCGACCGCGCGGCGGTGCGGGCGGCCTATGCCGCGTTTTCACCGCGCGGGCAGACGACAGGAGACCGAGCTTTTGCGCCGCGCCGTCGCGGTCGGCTATAGGATAGATCGGCCGGCGATGACTTGAAAGGCGGGCAAATAAATCCCTGTGCACGATCCTCCCCGCGCGCCATTGCGAGGCGCCAGGCGACGTTCGGGGACGCGATCCCCATGGCGGACGCCGCTAAGGACGAAACCGACCCTCTCGATCGCATCGTCCTGCGCTACCTCCAAAAGCGCGGGTACAAGGACGCGGAGAAGGCGCTCAAGTCCGAGGCGAACATCGCGAGCGTCTCGCAGATGGCGCTCGTCCCGCACCTCGGCGCGGACGCGACGATCTCGGACCACATCCTGTACTACAACGAGGCCGCGGACGGGGACCCGGTCGCGCTCGTGCACGGGTACCGGCTCCTGAGAGACTGGACGCACGCGGCGCTGGACATGTACAAGGTGCGACGATCGGATCGGCGCGCGATCGCGGTCCCGAAGGAAGCGCGCCTTTCCTCCGCTCCCGTCCGTCCTCGTGGTTCTAAATATTAGGGCAAAAACAGAACGACTCGAAATCGATCGATCGAATCGCGCGCGGTCGCGTCGCGTCCCTCGTGCCCTCCTCCTCCGTCTGACGACGCTCCCTCCCTCCCTCCCTCACCCCTCTCGACAGCCCGAGCTCCTGCGCATCCTGTACCCGATGTTCGTGTACTGCCACCTCGATCTCGTGTCTCGCGACCACGGCGCCGTCGCGAGAGAGTTCCACCGACGATTCGGCGACGATCACCTCCTCCTCCACGGCGACGTCGTGCGATCCCTCCGCGGGCTCGCGACGCCCGCGCACCTCGCGAAGGATTCGACCGCGAAGACGCTGCGAGAGAACCGCCTCCCCGTGCGATGCTGCAAGTACACGTTCGACCTGCTTCTCAAGTATCTCCACAACGCGAATCAGATCGCGTTGCTCGCCGTGCTCAACGCGCACGTCGCGGTGACGGTGACCGTCGGCGACCCGGAGCCGCACGCGGACGAGGAGGATATCGTGGCGAGGAACACGATCACGGGGCAGGGCCCGCCGAGCAAGACGGACGCGTTCAACGCGAGCAAGGAGGGAAGGTGGGGGGTGCTCGTGGACTGCGTGGAGCTGCAGGCGGCGGATGAGTTCGAGGAGGAGAAGATTCGAACGGCGAACGCGAAAAAGGAGAGGGAGAGGAAGAGCGGCGGCGGCGGCGGCGGCGAGGGCGGCGAGGGCGAGGACGACGACAAGGAAGGCGGCGGCGAAGAGAAGGAGAAATCCACGCCGACCAAGTCGAAGAAGAAGGCGGCGGCGGACGCGGCGAAGGAGAAGGAGGAGGCGGAGGCTGCGGAGAAGGAAAAAGGCCCGGAGCTCACCATCGTCTCGAGCGAGGTCCCCGTGCCGGAGCTGTCGTACGAAGCGCGGTGGGAGTCGATCGAGGACATTCGCTACCGCGCGCGGATCAGCAAAGACGCGCTGCCGTCGTGCGCCTTCTACACGTTCACGCACGCGCACGAGCATTTAGTCTGCGCGACGACGTCGTCGGACGCCGCGCTCGTCGTCGGCGGGTTCCAAGACTCCGTCGTCAGGGTGTGGGACATGAACAAGTCCGTTCCGGGCGGGACGGACAAGTACGACACGGACCCCGCGTCGAGAAAGCGGCTGAAGCGCAGGGAGGCGGGGTACGATCAGCTCCCCGACGGCGACGACGACGACGACGACGACGACGACGAGGAGTTCAAAGAAAAAGGCGGCGGCGGCGACGGCGAAATACCGGCGAAGGGCACGAAAGTAGCGACGCCGCTGTACTGCAAGGAGTACATCGGACACTCCTCCGCGGTGCACGCGGTGAGCTTGAGCCCCGGGAACGAGTTCCTGCTCTCGTGCTCGAGGGACTCGACCGTGCGGGCGTGGTCGATGCAGCTCGAGATGCCGCTGTGCGCGTACCGGTCGCACAACTACCCGGTCTGGGACGTGAAATGGGCGCCGACGGGCCATTACTTCGCGTCCGCGTCGCACGACAAGACCGCGCGCGTGTGGGCGATGGACGTCGCGACGCCGCGCAGGATCATGGTCGGGCATCTCGCGGACGTGGACGTCGTGACGTGGCACCCGAACTGCAACTACATCGCCACCGGGTCGTCCGATCGAACTTTGAGACTGTGGGACGTGTCCACGGGCGAGTGCGTGCGAATTTTCACCGGGCACCGCGGCGGGATTCGATCGATCGCGATGTCCCCCGACGGGAAGTCCATGGCCTCAGGCAGCGACGACGGCGGGATCCTGACCTGGGACCTCGGCTCCGCCAAGTGCGAACGCGCGTTCGCCGGGCACGCGGGCGCGGTGTATTCCCTGGATTACGCCGGCGGAGACGCGACGTTGCTCGCGTCCGGCGGCGCGGACGAGACCGTGCGTCTGTGGGACGTCACGACCGGGAGCGGGAGCGTCGTCGCGGGCGGCGGCGGGACGGCGGGGGGGGGGACGAAGAAACGTGCCGGCGCGGTCAAGACGTTGAGGACGAGATCGACCCCCGTGTACGCGGTGAAGTTTACGCGACGTAATTTGTTGATTGGGATGGGCGCGAGGGCGCCGCCCAAGTCGCGAGAGGCCGTCGCGTGAGCGCGAAAGCGTACAACTTACTGTACACGGTGTCGATCGATTATATACACGAAACGCGTCACCGGCGCGCGAAACCAATTTTTTGGTTTTTTTCCTCACGCCAACGCGCCGACGGGTTCGACGGAGTCGCACTCGAGCTTCGACCTGCGGTGCTCGATCTCGTTCGTCCATACCGGCGTGGATCCGTACCCGTCCGGGAGCTGACACTCGTGCATCTTGTCCGTGCGCTGCTGGTTCAGCTCGAGCCGGTCGAACTCGCGGCAGCCGTAGTCCTCGAAGACGTCCATGAGGAGGTAGCACTTGAACCGCGCGAACACGTTTCCGTCGCCGTCGTGGTACACGTACAGCTTGGACTCCGCCGCGGGCGTCACGCCGAGACGGCACGTGTACACGAGGCACGGGAACTCCCCCGGGACAGGGACGAGCTCGCCCGCGGCGGCGAGCTCGAGCGTCGCGCGCGTGGCGGGGTCTTGAAGCGCGCGCGCCGGCGCGAGGTCGTCCTCGAGCCGAACCAGGTCGTTCGGGTCGAAGTTTCCGGGCGGGGTATCGAACGGAGAACGGTTCGGAATAGGACGCCAGTTGCCGCCGCCGAAGCCGGCGCCGAACCACGGCGGTCCGATGACGTACCCCTGAGGTCCCCAGTACGGGAACGGGAACGGCGTCCAGCGTCCTTCGGGGGTGGCGGCGGCGGCGGCGGCGGCGGTCGTCGCGGCGGCGGCGGCGTCCGAGGGTCGCGCGCGCGTCGTCGTCGTCGTCGTCGTCGTCGGCGGCGGCGGCGGCGGCAGCCTCGCCGCCGCCGCGTCC